CCCCCCCCCCCCCCCCCCCCCCCAAAAAAAGATATCAACGCGTAATTGAAGAATACTGATGGGAGCGGCATAGCGAATAGCCATACCAGAGGCTCGTATGGACCTCTGGCTACTGCTACTTCCTCGGGGAGGTCCCCAGGAGTGCAGTCAGGATCCAGTGGAGCGCATCACACAGATTGCAACGAGGGCCAGCCAATTGACAGAAAGACGACGAATTTGCGCGAGCCCAATTAAATTTACATCCTTACTCTGATGTGATAATCTAGGTAATCGTGTCGCAAGAAGCAAGTCACAGCTCGCCATTCCGCTCCATGAAGAAGTTCGCGCCCACGACCTCGAGGCCTTCCCTCTGGGCCCAGTCCCGCACCCCGTGCCGGACCTTGCCGGTGCCACAGTGCTGGCGCTCCGAGGGGGCTGTCAGGTTGGAGGTTGCGCCTTGGAGGAGGACGAAGACGTAGCGGTGGTAGCCCGTCTTTGCTGGCGGGGCGGGGGATTTGTCTAGGGTTGCGGAGGGGTTAGTTAGAGAGGGGGGCTTAGGGGAGGGAAGAAGAGAGAGTCACATTCGACGATATCCAAGGCATTAGAGCCGTTTGAAACGTCGAGTACGAAGTCTTTCTGGTTCGAGGTGGGGACGATGGCGATCCACTGCGTCTAGCGTCAGTCAAGGTACATCTCTCATAGGCAATGACACCAGCCAGCGATTTTCCGACGAGCCGCTCTGGAGGAAAAAGCCTCTGTTTATAGTGCTAGGGATAGCGGTTAGCAGATAGCGGATAGAGACGTACATGGCACATCTCAGACCACTTCGGGTCGTCCCGTGACTTCGCATCCGGGTCCGTCAGCGCGACCACAAGGCCAGCCGTGCTGTCCAGACCCGGGCAGTAGATCTTTATCGTTGGCCGGTCTTCTGTGACCGATTGCTTGAGACTGTTCCCGAGGGTCACGGCTCGGTTGCTCTTCTTGCCGTAGAAGGGGGCGAGGAAGCATCTTGGCTGGAAGTCGTCGAGGACTTCGCTGATGATTTTTGCCGCTTCCAGACTGGTTGATTCCTGAGTGGTTAGACGATTGCTGATATGTTGTGTCGGGGAGAATGGCTCACGCCTTTCGGACGGCTGCGAAGCTATCTTTGCCTAATGCGATGGGGGTCTGGGCTGTAGAAGTTGCGAGGCTGGTGGATGCTGGTGCAAGGAGGAGGAGGGTGATGCTGATCATGGAACGCATGATGGGAGTAGAATACCGAGAGGATTGGCAAAAGTTTTCTCCAGTGTATGGCCAAGCTTACAATTGAGGACTTGTAAGAGAACGATCTTGCATCATGAAAATGCACGCTCTCCCCTTCATCGTTTGTTGATCAACATCGAAGCAGCTTCTCTGATGTCATCGTCACGTGTACCCATTTCTTTCAACATTTGGCTTCGAGAAAGATTGATAGATAATTTAGAACGATAAGCAAGAAGCAATGGAAGATTAGAGCATGACTGTAAATCTTCGGGGTAAAAAAAGCATCTGGTGGCTGTGTTATGTGCTTGAGTAGACATGAAAGGAATATTCGGACTCGGAAGGCAACGAAATTCGATATACAAATCAAAAATGCATCGCAGCAAAGGCGCAGTGATCAGGCGAAGATGCAGTATCACTTGAAAGGAGAAGGACTCTCGATCTATATAGAAGTGAGATCAATGCAAGGAATTACCTATACCACGTATATGCTGGCTGTCAACAGAGCAAGTAAATCCTTGCTGCTCTACACCTTCGGGATTGGAGTTCTGCACAGAATATAATGAGATGAGAAGCTTGGGACGAAGGCCAGATTTAATGAATGTTGGAATGTCTGCGGTTCTCCGATTCTATATCAATACGTTTATATCTACATATTTATATCTATATATTCCGATCCTCCAGCTTGAGGCAGGGATCGTAAGGTTGGTCTTGGGTCTTGGCGAGCCTGCCTTCGCCGACGCATAACCGTGGAAATTTAGATTCTAAAGTAAACACCCTACGGCCACCCCTCGAACATCCGGACAGACCAGACCATCACCATAACCACTGTTCACTCAACTCACCACGGCTATACCGAATCTCTCAAACGTTCATTAGAATTACTCTGCGCCAACCGTTACATCTGGGTCAGAGGGCGACGCTGTCTCGACGCGACATAGATAGCTGTCTGAGCTCGCTGAGCTCGATTGCCCCCCAACCGATATCCATTCCAGCTCGACAAGATGGCATCTCTGGGCGAAGACCTCTTGGGGATAGTCAACAAGTTGCAAGACCTTGTTTTTAACACTATTGGCAATGATAGCTTGGATCTGCCGCAGATTGTACGAAGGACCCTCGGGCACATCTTCCATCAACGGAAACTAACATCGTCAGGTCGTCGTGGGGTCTCAGTCGTCCGGGAAGTCCTCAGTTCTCGAGAATATAGTCGGCAGAGACTTCCTGCCCCGTGGAAGTGGTATCGTTACTCGAAGACCGCTCATTTTGCAGCTCATCAACATCCCCTCCGAGGAAGACGACGCCCCCGAAGCGCACACAGCCGCGGCCGTAGCAACACAGCCAGAATGGGCAGAATTCCACCACATACCGAATCGCAGGTTCACGGAATTCCAAGACGTCAAGCGAGAAATTGAGAACGAGACGGCGAGGATTGCGGGAAGCAACAAGGGCATAAATCGGTCGCCCATAAATCTCAAAATTTACTCTCCGCACGTCCTCAGTCTGACTTTGGTTGATCTGCCAGGTCTAACAAAGGTACATGAGGGTTTAGAAAAAATGAAGCGGAAGCTGACTGCTGCTAGGTACCGATCGGCGATCAACCAACAGATATCGAGAAGCAGACTCGCAACCTTATCTCTGAGTATATCGCAAAACCCAACAGCATAATTTTAGCCGTTTCCCCCGCGAACGTCGATATTGTCAATTCGGAGGCTCTGAAACTCGCCCGCCATGTTGACCCACTGGGACGGAGGACAATCGGGGTTCTCACCAAGATTGATCTGATGGACCATGGAACGAATGCCCTTGATATCCTCTCTGGGAGGGTATATCCACTGAAGCTTGGATTTATTGGTGTTGTGAACCGCTCGCAACAAGACATCCAGGGAAACAAGTCCCTCGCGGAGGCCCTTAAATCAGAATCAGACTTCTTCAAGCATCATCCCGCATACCGCAACATGGCAAATCGATGTGGCACTCAATTCTTGGCGAAAAGCCTCAACACGACCCTGATGGCACACATCCGAGAACGCCTTCCAGACATCAAGGCACGACTCAATACATTGATGGGACAATGCCAGCAAGAACTTGCCAGCTACGGAGATATGCATTTCAGTGGAAAGGAGCACAGAGGATCTCTGGTGCTTCAATTAATGACTCGATTCGCGACTTCTTTCATATCTTCCATTGATGGAACATCAACAGAGATTTCGACCAAGGAGCTTTGTGGTGGTGCCAGGATATACTACATTTTTAACTCGGTATTCGGAAACTCTCTGGAGACCATTGATCCTACGACAAATCTCTCCGCTCTGGACATTCGAACAGCAATTCGAAACTCTACTGGACCTCGACCGAGTCTATTCGTACCCGAACTAGCATTCGATCTCTTGGTGAAGCCACAGATCAAACTCCTAGAGATTCCCAGTCAACGATGTGTTGAACTCGTCTACGAAGAACTTATCAAGATTTGCCATACCTGTGGCTCTACGGAGCTGACCCGATTCCCTCGGCTCCAAGCTAAGCTTATCGAGGTAGTCTCAGACCTTCTCCGCGAAAGACTGGGTCCTTCTTCATCTTATGTCGAATCTTTGATCTCGATACAGCGGGCTTACATCAATACTAACCATCCTAATTTCCTCGGTGCGGCAGCTGCGATGAGCAATGTTGTGACTAATAAGCAAGAAAAGGAAAGGAAAAGACTTCTCCAGGAGGAACGGGAGAGACGGGATCGACGACGCCAGAAGGAACTTGGAACAAATGGCACTGACACGCCAGAGGATCAAGAAGAGGGCGAGGATAAAATTGAGAATCTACCTCAAAGGAAGATGCTGCACAAGGGTGGTCGAAGCATGTCTCCCGCGATCCGAGAAAACGGAACGGGAGGCATTGCAGCTACGATGAACGGTATGAGACCTGGCTCGCCGCCTAGATTCAATGGGCAAGCCGTAGGCGGTGCCCGGGACTCCTTCTTGAACTACTTTTTCGGCAAAGACGGAGCTATGCCAGCAGGTGGGGTAGGTCCTGGGCAAGGATCTTCATCGGTCCAGAACCCAAATCTCGGTCGGCATGTCAGTCAAAGCGCCGAACCAAGCTTTAGCCAAAGTATCCGCAGGCAGGAAGAGCGCCAAGTTCCAAGAACTCCGGCCCAGCAATTACGAGAGGACGACTACGAGCTAGGCAGAGCGCAGAGGGATTACGACTACAACTCACCATTTGTAAGATTGCCGAATTTCGCACTCTCATACATGGCGAACACTAACTGGCCTATCTAGGGAAACAATAGCGAGCCAGCTCTGACGGACCGCGAGGCTATGGAGACGGAGCTTATCCGAGCATTAATCTCGTCGTACTTCAACATTGTACGAGAGTCGATAGCGGATCAAGTTCCCAAAGCAGTTATGCATCTTCTAGTGAACCATTCCAAGGATGTCGTACAGAATCGATTGGTCAGCGAGCTCTACAAGGAGGATCTCTTCGAAGAGCTCTTGTATGAAGACGATGCGGTCAAGAAAGAGCGCGAGAAGTGCGAGAAGCTGCTCAAGACCTACAGAGAGGCAGCTAAGATCGTTGGCGAGGTAGGAATATAGGGAAGGGGCATGTCTTGAATGGTTTCGAAGAGGCGCGATTGGTACGATGAGGATGATGGGCAACGACCTGTAGAATACTGTATTTGTGTTTATGCGTCTGTTTTCTGCCGAGGGCTCTACTGTCCTAACTCCTCTATCACTGTGGCCATGTGTATACGAATCGAGTTCCACTGACCTTCTAAACTTCTTTGGACAGGTGCCGAGTGAACGGGGTTGATTCCATGGCAAGTCTGATCTTCACAACCAGGGTTGGCTTGCAGCACTTTCTGTTTCTGGCTTTACCCAGTCCTGGTGCTTACAAGGTCGATCACAGGATGTCGTTATTTTTTTTTTTTTCTCCCGAGAATTTACGCTCAATCCATCCGGTTGGGATCTGCTCTGCGTCCCGGACGACAGACCGCCGCCACGCCGCTCCAATTTCCGGCACAGGTCTTTCTTGCCCCGCGACGAACTCTGCAATCCTCTGCTGCGCTCCCCGACGCCTAGGCCAGCCCGCCCACCTCACATCTCACATCTCACATCTCGCATCTCGCCAACTCAAAACAACACACCCACCCGCTCCCCCCCCTAACTGTAACTACTTACTTCCCAGCACATACATACATACATACATACCCACGGTACAGGCCTAAGTACTACCCCTCGAGGGTGCCTCAAAAGTCTAGTTTCCACTTTAAACCCCCTGTTTTCCCTACCCTCGAGGGGTAATACTTACGCCTGCGACGTAGTACATACATAGGTACATACATACGTAGATTACTCACCTCACATCCGACTACGCCACGCGCACGACGCTCTCTTCTCGCCACCGGACAGACGGGGGCCGGGAGGAGGATATCAGCAGGCGTATCAATCGAGCGGCTGGTCTTTTTTTTTTTTTTTTTTTGGAGGAGAAGAATGTTGGTTGGATTTCTTGCTCTGATGCCGATGGGCTCTGACGGGGAGTAGAATAGATAAGTGCTCGAGGGGGGAGGGGGGAGGGGAGAAGGGAGTGGGGGGAGGGGGGTGGTGTGTCTTTTGGTGGTGCTTGGTTTGGGGGAAGGGGAAGGGGAACGGTGGGAGGAGGAGGAGGAGGAGGAGGAGGAGGAGGAGGCTGTAGCAGGTGCTTGGTTTGGGATGAGAAGTGGTGGGCGGGGTGGAGAGGGTTGGTGGATTATCATTTTTATTATTGTTGTTATTATTTTTTATTTTTGGGCATCGTGGGTTGAACTGAACGTCCTTTCAAGAATGAGATGTTTTGGATTTGGGATAATGTGTTTGACTACCGGTACCTATTGGGTGAGAGTACTAACTAAGCTGTACCTTGGCTTGGATCGTTGCCTGCTCTGGACGTCTGAAGATCAGACGTTTGTGAAGAAGAACCCCTAGTGACCGAAAGGTCTTCTTCGTCTCACACCTTTAGAAGCTCGAAATCGAAACTAAACGGCCTCCATTATATACAAATTGAAAAAAACGGTACCCCATCGTGGTTACCTCTCATTCTCTAGTGCGAGGCCCGGTTGCTGCTCCATAGGAAATCACTCGACTCCGTAGGCGGGCGACAGAGAGCTGCCCTCAACATGCTGGCAAGTATTAACGCTATCCTAAATGGCCCAGGATAGCATTGAGCCTCCTAATAGCCTTCGTCTTCGACTGTTCGATCCCATGCTCGTCCGCCTTCAATTCTTCGACTTCCCTCCTCGCTTCCTTCACAAGCGGCAAGAGTCCACCCCAGACCTCATCCGCGTACCGATTCAACACGTCACTCCAGTCATTCAGATACTGCTCTCGCGCCTCTTCCCGGCCTTGGAAATCCGGAAGTAGATTCAGCGCGTTGTTTTCAGATAGATGACCATGCTGTTCAGGAGCAGGCAAAAGATCCCTTGTTCTCTCCCTCAGCTGGGAGATCTGAGCAGGCGTGAGGCCCCAGTCATAGTTCTCATCTTCCTCCATTTCCGGGGGGGTCTCTAGGGCAGCAGGCTGTGATAGTAGGGCAACGACATCCTCGCCATCTCTGCTCTCTTGCTCCGCTACCGTCCTGCGTGAAGAGTCGGCAAGTTGAGCTAGGGATCGCGACCAGGCTTCGTCGAAACTGCTCCTCGCGTCCGCCACGGGGATGGTGCCGAAGCTTCCCAAGGGGACGAAGGAGGGGATTCCGTCTAGAAAGGAGTGGAATTGTTGTTCAGAAGCTTGGACGTGTTGCTCACTGTGGGTGGTTCGCAGGCCGGAGGAGCTGCTCGCTTGGGAGTTTGTTTGCGGATGACTTGGCGTTGATTTGGAGCTCTCTGCCCAAGCTCTTCCGCTGGAGGATGCACCGGGGAGCGATCGCCCCTTTTCTGAACTCGACGCAGCATTTTGTAAGTCGGTCGCGCTGGCCGGGGCCATGGAGGCGTTCCGGGTCAGTCCTGTAGCCGAGGCTGCGATGCGGGAAAGGAGGGATGGAGCATTCTGGTTTGAAGTTGCATCATCTTCTTCAGATTTGGCTGGTCCTGTCCCATTTTCTTTTTCCTTTTCCTTTTCCTTTTCCTTTTCCTTTTCCTTTTCTTTTTCTAAGGACATGGCGATTTGTGAGGGGATGAGGTGAAAGTCCAAATTATATTGCTGCATAAGTGAGGGATGAGGTTGAGGGAGTCGCTCCACCAACCGCGAGGACAGGCCAACGATACATGCGAGCTGTGAGCTACGATGTGAGCGAGCGAAGTGGGGCTGTAAAGACCTGAATTGTTGTTTTTATATAGTTCATATGGGTGGAATCTTCATATGAGTGGAATCTTCATATCGGGGGAATTGATGAGCAAGAAGGGTTGAGTTGCGAGGTACCGTAACTGCCTATCTACCGGTATCTATACGTCAGGTAAGTAAGTGATGAGCATTCACTTTACTTACCTACTTACCTACTCCTCCCTCCTCACCCTCGCTCGCTCCGCCAAGATCAAGCTACCGGTACTCAACCCCACGACAACCTCCACCACCCGACCGCCAACCGAACACGAAACCTCACCATCGTCCCCAAAGCACCGCACCGCACCGCACCGCATCGCGCATCCACGACCCTTACTCTGCCTCTGCTCCCTCTTCCGCAAACTTCCCTTGATCTGCAGACCCGTCCCCGAAATTCGGATTCTCGACCGACCTGCGCGCACACCGTCCTTGCCCTTCGTTTCCTTCTCCTTCCCTTCTCCTTCCCTTCCCTTCTCCTTCCCTTCCCTTCTTACACCCTCGATCCATCAGATCAGCTCCGAGAAACGCTTGCCTACCTACCCCGGCCAAGATTCACCCTCTGCCTCTCGGACCTCTCCACCTCTCGACCCAGTCCCGTCGAGCTCGCATCAAAATACATCTCCCCGCCCACCCGCAACCAAATCACCCTCTCCCAAACATATCTGTTGGCGGGAGTCGATCTCGCCCTACGGTTCTTGAAAGATGGTAGACGGGGACCCGAACTCTCCAACTTGGAAGTTCACACAGTCAGTCACTTCTTTCCAATCCGATGCCTGCCTACTTTGCTATACACCTGCTTTTCGTATTTGTGGCCGCTGCCAGAATCGAGGGCGCTGCGGCATAGCTGCGTGCGCATACAGATCTACCGTGCTAACATGTATGATCTAGGTGTTTTGGTGATAAGGGAGACGTAGAAGATATTACCGAAGGTTGGTTGCAGTCTCATGGGCCCAATCCCGCTCCAAGATCTGCGCGCCCTGTCATCCACTCTCTGTTAGACATTTGTGGCTAACAGGAGCCCTCTCCAGCCGATATCATTTCCACCGTCGAATTTGACCATACGGGAAACTATCTTGCGACCGGAGATAAAGGAGGTCGAGTTGTGCTGTTTGAGAGGAACGAAACGGTATGTATTCCATCATCGGACGTGTTACCCAAACAAATGTCTATGCTGTCAGGCTGACGTTGTCGACCCCAGAAAAAAACCTGCGAATACAAGTTCCACACCGAATTCCAATCACACGAGCCCGAATTCGACTACCTGAAATCTCTCGAGATCGAGGAGAAGATCAACAAGATCAAGTGGTGCAAAAGACAGAATGCGTCACACTATCTCTTGTCAACGAACGACAAGACAATCAAATTGTGGAAGGTCTTCGAGAAGTCGTTGAAGGTCGTGGCAGAGAATAATCTCTCACAAGATCTGACGCCGGGAACTGCTGTCGGAGGAGGGGGTGGCATGCGAGCTCGCTCGAATGTTCACTACTCAAGCTCTCATGACCTCAAACTACCCCGCCTTACACATCACGATACTGTGGTAGCAGCGGTCCCTCGACGAACTTACGCCAATGCCCACGCCTACCACATCAACAGCATATCCGTGAACAGCGACGGAGAGACTTTCATCAGCAGTGACGATTTACGGATAAATCTATGGAACCTCAACATCCAAGATCAGAGCTTCAACATTGTTGATATCAAGCCAGCAAACATGGAGGAATTAACAGAGGTGATCACAGCAGCCGAGTTCCATCCACAAAGCTGCAACTGGTTCATGTATGCAAGCTCCAAGGGCACCATCAAGCTTGCGGATATGCGAGAGAGCGCCCTGTGTGATCAACATGCAAAGCGTGAGCCACGTCGACCATGGCCCACCATTCCTGCTAACGTTTTTCCTAGAATTCGAACAAGAGGAAGATCCTTCCGCCCGTTCATTCTTCTCGGAAATCATCTCGTCCATCTCAGACGTTCGATTCTCTCATGACGGCCGTTATATCCTTTCACGTGATTATCTCACCGTCAAGATCTGGGATGTCAACATGGAGAGACAACCGGTGAAGACCATTCCGATCCATGAGCACCTCCGACCTAGACTCTGCGATACCTACGAGAATGATAGCATCTTCGACAAGTTTGAGGTGGTCTTTTCAGGGGATGCCAAGAACGTGATGACCGGAAGCTATAACAACAACTTCATGATCTATCCTTCTGATCCGGACAAAGAGGTCGAGGTCGTCCTTCAGGCGGATAAGTCAGCGTTCAAGGCAAAGAAGGTCGGTGTCCCAACACCGATCAACTCGACTAGCCCGACTGCCACGAACGGAAAGAAGGGCGGCTCCAGAGCTGGTAGTCCCGCGGCTGTTGGCGCCGGTCAAGGCAGCAGGATGAGGAAGGAGACCGATGCCGATCAAATTGATTTCAACAAGAAGATTCTGCATATGAGCTGGCATCCATTCGAAGATAGCATCGCTATTGCAGCGACCAATAACGTAAGTGCACAGGATATGGTATGGCGATCCTTGGCTGACAGCCCTGTAGCTTTTCGTCTTCTCGGCATTGTAGAATTGTTCCTGCATGGAAGTGGTCTCCTGGTCATTATCTCGGCGTTCTTACAAGGCGAGCAGCGTTCACACCAGATCCCTGGGTTCCGTTCATTCTCAAAGGCGTGGAGGTCATCAGGGACGATTGTGCGATCATGGGTGGTAGAGAAGATACCACAGGTTATATGGAGGGGACTATGGTAAATGACCGGGTGGCTAGCACCTTTTTGACTGGGCCGGGCTTTAGGTGGTTCTGAAGTTTCCGAAGTTTCCTTGGAGGCTGTCCGTCGGAGGAATGGATTGCAGAATTCTCCCGGAGTCGGGCGGGTCCTCCGCAGTCCAGATGAAGTAGTCGCCTCGCAAATGAATAATGCAAAGAGATTTCAATAAGTTTGGGCCGTGCGTGTGGTTGTGGGGGAATGCAGTGGGTGGTGTCTCAGAGTATGCATGTACGTAGTATGATGGATCGCTTGGGATGCTACCAAAGCATCAAACCGAGGAAGTTTCGAGCCAAATAATGCGATTTGTCCAAAGAATCGCAGTCCACGGTCGTCCAGGATCTTCGGCTGTATCTTTTTTCCTTTTTTGATTAGCCATCCACGGAGTCTGTTTGGAACGGAAATATGGAGGATATATCAACATCGGGTGAAGGATCTTGCATTGTATATGAAACAATTAAGCATAATTATCCCCGGTGCGGTGTTATTTTCAACTCGGGCTTGGGAAGGTCTGGGTGTCTGGGTGTCTGGGTGTCTAGGTGTCTGCCATGCCCTGCCACGGCTGCCCTCTCAAGCCACTTCCCGGCTTTCTGGCTAAGGGAACATACTACCGTACTGTACCTCGAGAGCCGAAAGCCATCGCCGCTCAATACCCGTCTGCACCTACTTATTTATCCGTACGGGCCAGCGACATACATCGACGACCGAGTGCCTCTACTCCATCCACCTACTTCCTTCCTTCCGGTCTACGTGCAATCCACCCGCTCAGTCTGACCCCGTATCCCTTAGCCATCTCTCCTGCCTCCTACATCGTGTCCGGTCCGGTCCTGTCCTGTCCTGTCCTGTCCTGTCCTCTCCTGTCTCGTCCTGTCTCGCTGGCCTTCGAGGGCTCGGCACTTGTCCGGGCTTAGCGCCATCTGATCTCAGTTGTTGTAGGTCCATCCTTTCCCACGCGTTGCTAGTTGTACCTTCTTCTTCAGCACGTAAGCTGGGCCCGGCCGTGTCCTCCGTACGTATCAGAACATTGCCTTGTCTTAGTTCTCGATCTTCAATCCACCCCTCCTTTCACATTTCGTTAGCAAGCCCCTTCCCACCCCCCCCAGAACATTCAATCCAATATCTCTGCAACCCTCTTTCTTATCGATCAACCCATCCATCCATCAGCTCGCTAGCCAGCCTGCACAGACACGGTCTCGAACGAAAAAAAAAANAAAAAAAAAAAAAACAAACAACAACAAAACCCCCCCCAGACCGGATGGCGAGACGACGTAGGGCTGACTCCAGCAGCACGCAGCCTCCGTCCATGAGCACCGGCCCGAGACGGCGATCCACGCTCCGCGACCTCCAAGCTTCCTCGAGCTCGAATGCTGCTGATGGCGACATCATAACCCCCAAGATCATTGACGCACGCCTCTCTCTAGAAAAGGCCGAGATGTATGGAATTGACGACCCGCGTCCGGCGTCGTCGAGAATTATGGCACTGATTGGGCGCATCTTCATCGAGACGATTCCGCAATGGTTGGCCGTGGGTGCTATGCTGGGCTTGATATTTGGAGGGTGCTGTTCCAATGTGAGTCAATTCCTGCTCGAAGGACATCTAGGATCTTGGAGACGAGAGGCTCATACTTTCTTTTGCAGGTCTTTGCACTGGAGGCTATTGTCAAGTGAGTTGGAATCTGGGTTGGGACTATATTGAAGATACTAACAAGACGAAATTTAGGGTCGAGCCTGACAGTGGCACCCTGCTGACCTTTGTCCAATTTCTCTTCGTGGCGACTACAGGATACTTCTCGCAGTTCGACCGAACTCGACCACCGTTCTTCCTCAAGCCGAACCATGTCCCGATACGTCGCTGGATCATCAACATCCTGCTCTTCTTCACGATCAATGTTCTGAACAACCACGCTTTCAGCTACAATATCTCCGTGCCTATACATATCATTCTTCGATCAGGAGGTAGTATTACAACCATCGCGGCTGGATATCTTTGGGGAAAGCGATTCTCCAGAATCCAGGTCATTGCGGTCACTCTATTGACCATTGGTGTTATTATTGCTGCTTGGTCTGACCAGCAGTCAAAGGTAGGCATACTGTTTCTGACTCTACGGCCTACACTGACACCTTCTTAGAAGAATGTGATAACCACCAGTGACCTCCCACCCTTCAGCACCGGTCTCGCAATCCTCTTCATCGCCCAAGTACTATCAGCAATCATGGGTCTGTACACCGAAGAGACCTACAAGGCATATGGACCCCACTGGAAAGAGAACCTCTTTTACTCTCACCTCCTCGCCCTCCCCCTCTTCGTGCCATTCATTCCCTCAATGAACCGCCAATTCATCAAACTGGCCGCCTCAGCGCCCCTGGGCCTCCCTGCCTACAACCAAATGACCAACTTTCCAGTCGAGCTCCAGAAAGGACTAGACACCATCCGCATCCCCAGCCAGCTCGCCTACCTCGTCATAAACGTGCTCACGCAGTACGCTTGTATCCGAGGCGTGAATTTGCTTGCCTCAGCTGCTTCGGCGTTGACTGTGACGATTGTGTTGAACGTGCGGAAGCTTGTTAGTTTGTTGTTGAGTATTTGGCTGTTTGGGAATAAGCTGTCACCTGGGACGCTGCTCGGGGCTTTTATTGTTTTCTTTGCCGGGGGCATGTATGGATTAGAGGGCTCGAAGGGGTCCAGTAAGGCGAGGCAAAGAACGAACATTGCGAACGGGAAGGCAGGATAATCTCAAGGCCTGTCCCACATAGATTAAGAGCCGAATCAAATAAGAGACCTTATAAGACAGTCCGTTGGAGTCTGATACGCTCGGAAGTTCTCTATGATCGTTGAGTAATGATTGTCTGTAGCCAATTTCTTCCGCCGTATATCCCTCGCCTCCCGCCCAGAAGTTTTTACCATCTACATGTAAGAGAATTCCGTGGCTGACTTCCATCAACTGGCGGGACGGACCGGTGGCTCAGCGGCGTGTAGTCGTCGCTTAGAGCCATATGAGCCTCTGATACCGTCAGTTTGATTGTAGATTGTAGACACCGCAAAACCTATTAGATTAGGTTTGTAGATTGGAACCTCATTATAGTACATGAGCTTCCAATTGAGTTTTGCCCTTTTTCTCTTTTATATATACATAGACATATATATATATATATTCATAGTTTTTTACCAAAAAAAAAAAATCTTTTTTTTCTTGGAGACAAGCTACAAATGTAGCTAAGTAGGTATGTTGTGCACATCGTGACTGAAGTAAGCATTTAGGCGAATCCCTGCAATATGTAACCGCAAGTACAGATGTCAGCCTTGTCGAACCAATTGACTTGAAGACCATACTTGTAATACATAAACGAATTAATTGAGCTCTGCAACGCGCCTGATCTGACTGATTCGTCCTTCCATCTTTTCAAATCAACAGAGGAAAATTTGAGTGCAAAGTGTAGCGAAGATCAATGTAGTGGTGAGTCAGGGTACGATTGGAACAAGGTTCAACGATTGTACGGAGTATAGCTCCTCATGGCCAGACGAGCACAATAAAGCGAACAGGACATCTGCAGAAACCTCATCTTTCAACCAGCACACAGCAGTGGATTTTCCTTCAAGATCACCGCCCACCGTCGAGGTCTACCTTAGATCAGGATCCAGAAGGCGATTTGGACCTGGAGGTCGAGGACCACAGCATGGAGCAAGACCGAGGCAAGACAGGGTCAGATGGCTCCTACGATGAGCAGAGAGATAAAGAGAGCGACATGCTCCCTGACCCTGCTCTGGAAGGCGATAGCCCCGAAGTCACTACGCCCTCGGATGAGGAGCACGAGGGCATGCTGGCCCGCGACATTGGGCGCAAGACGGCCTACTACGACTACGCGGCCGAGAAGCAGCTGAGCCAGGCCGACGCGAAGCTGTTCTACCAGCGCAGCCAGGTGGAGGCACAGAATACCGGGGGCAACAACTGGGGCAACTCGCAGCACTCGCCGACGGGGAGCCCGGTGCTGATGCCGAGGTCGGTGTCGAATGTGTTCGACAAGGAGCAGGCAAGCATGCGGAGGAGTTGGAGTACAAGCTCGATGATGAGCTCGCACGGCGTTCCGCAGAGGTGGGTACTTGCTGATCAGCTTTGGAGAGGGTGGTGTTTTCTGGATCTGTGACGAGCTGATATGTGATGGCAGCTCGGGCAAATTTAGGGCTGGGGCTCCACTGGGACTAGCAGATATGAACAAGTCTCCAGAGAGCAACTTAATACAAGAGCCAAGCTCAATAGCCTTCTCGCAGAATGCGATTGGCACTCACCGCCAGGATTCGCTACCTCAGGCGGACAGATCGGCAAGAGGCCATGATGTACACCCGAGTATACCGCATGAGTCGAAGCCGCTACTAGAGACAGAAGGACTACATGGGGCAGGTGCTGGGGTTGGAGTCGGGTCTGGAGCTGGTGGGTTTGCTCATAACGATGACAATATTACATCGGAGCTCAGCACTATCTACACCAATATCCAAAAAATCCTGGATCTGCGGCACAAGTACATGCGATTGTCCTTGCAGCAAGATGGTGATAACCCCAAGGACGAGCCTAGTTGGAAGATCTACCCTCCGCCTCCTGAACCTGCTTGGTATGAACACGGGTATGAGGAGCGTGACCGAGGGAACGCTACTGCGAATGGCATGGATAGCCAGAATGGCAGTATGTCGAACAGCTTGATTCTTCCCCAAGAGCAAGCCAAGAAAATCGTCGACCACTCCCGAAATATCAGCAGCGCGTCTCAGCCTGATAAGTTGCCCCGGCGAAAGCGGAAACCTGGTCAGGACATTGGCGAGGACTTCTACCTGGAGGATCTCCTCCCTGTCCCAGGGCCCAACGAGATGACGTTCAGTCTCGACGAGAACAGCGTCTACCAAGTCTACGAGAATCCAGAGGCGGTCGAGGCACAAACCCCGGTCATCAACATCCCTAATATCCGGGAGTACTACATGGATCTGGAAGACATCCTCAATATCTCCTCTGATGGTCCATGCAAGAGCTTTGCGTTTCGCCGCTTGCAGTACTTGGAAGGCAAGTTCAATCTCTACGTGCTGCTTAATGAGTACCAAGAGATGGCGGACAGTAAGAGAGTGCCTCACAGAGATTTCTACAATGTGAGAAAGGTCGATACGCACGTTCATCACTCTGCGTGCATGAATCAGAAGCATTTGCTGCGGTTCATCAAGAGTAAGATGAAGAAGTGTCCGGATGAGGTTGTCATGTTTAGGGATGGCAAGCATCTTACGCTCGAGGAGGTATTTCAGAGTATCAATTTGACGGCGTATGATCTTAGTATTGACACGCTTGATATGCACGTAAGTTGACAGACACTGAACGGAAAAGGTAGTGAGCTGACTGTGCTTAGGCCCACACCGACTCCTTCCATCGTTTTGACAAGTTCAACCTCAAGTACAATCCAATTGGAGAGTCGAGACTGAGAACTATCTTCCTCAAGACGGACAACTTCATCAATGGTAGATACCTGGCTGAGATCACCAAGGAAGTGATCTCTGATCTTGAGTCGAGTAAATACCAGATGGCTGAATGGCGTATCTCGATCTACGGCCGAAGTATTGATGAGTGGGACAAGCTTGCTGCGTGGGTCATTGACAACAAGCTCTTCTCCAACAATGTTCGATGGTTGATCCAAGTGCCTCGCCTCTTCGATGTTTACAAGTCTACCGGCTTGATGGACAACTTTGAGCAAGTCATCGTAAATATTTTCCAACCTCTCTTTGAGGTTACGAAAGACCCGACGAGTCATCCCAAACTCCACATCTTTTTGCAAAGAGTTATTGGATTCGACTGTGTCGATGACGAGAGTAAGCCTGAGCGTCGACTGTTCAAGAAGTTCCCAGTGCCAAGGGTTTGGGACTCGAAGCAGAACCCCCCTTACAGCTACTGGATCTACTACTTGTTCTCCAATATGGCCTCCCTGAATGTGTGGCGCAAGCAGCGAGGCTTCAACACCTTCCTTTTGCGTCCTCATGCTGGTGAAGCTGGCGATACAGATCATTTGGCTGCTGCTGTTCTGTGCTGTCACAGTATCAGCCATGGACTGCTGCTGCGCAAGGTTCCTCTTCTACAGTACATCTTCTACCTTGAGCAGATCGGAGTGGCGATGTCGCCTCTGAGCAACAACGCGCTGTTCCTGGCATATGAGCGGAACCCGTTCTTGAGCTACTTTAAGAGAGGCCTCAATGTATCCTTGTCGACTGATGATCCGCTTCAATTCGCATTTACAAAGGAGCCGCTGATTGAGGAGTACTCAGTGGCTGCGCAGATCTACAAGCTGAGTGCTGTGGACATGTGCGAGCTGGCCAAGAACTCGGTTACGCAGAGTGGATTTGAGCATGCTGTTAAGCAGAGATGGTTGGGTCAGGATTACCACTTGCCTGGTGTAAAGGGTAACACTATGGCCAAGACAAATGTGCCCAACATTCGGGAGGGCTTCAGACATGAGACACTCTTGCAGGAGCTTGCGATGTGAGTATTTTCAAATCTCCGATGCAGAGTTTTAGCTAAGGACCGCAGGATTGCACGATACACAGCTGTAGCCACCCCAACAACAGCGGTATCTGGCAAGACAGAGCCTGTACCTACAGCATATATCCCTCCACAAGCTCCTCCCTCCCCAACATCGTCATTGAAGACCAACCTCTCCATCGCCACCGGCAACAGCCATCCCGAGCCAACTCCAACTCCCCAGCACTACCAGCAATTCCCTGCCCAAGCGGCCCGCATCCCTATCTCGCACTCCCAAGCTCAGCTCGACATGATACAGCAGTCGCACGGCAGCCCCATCCAGCGCGCCGTCTCGCGGCCCAACTCCACCATGGCCAGTCCACACATGTCGAGTCTCAATCGCGAGGCGTCGTGGCCGGTATCAGAGGCATTCGGTGATCTTCATCTTTCGGCTAGCGAGCCACGGATCTTTCCAGGAGTGGTGAGCCGGACCCAGAGGAAGGGGAGCGTGAGGATGGGTAGCTCGAGCGAGACGGATGAGGGGAGGGCAATGAAGGGGGTGAAGACTATGGGCGGGTCTCTGAAGGAGAGGGATAAGGCGGGAGAGGAGCAGGAGAGCGATGGGGAAATGGAGGAGGCGGGGGGGCGGGATGAACAGGATTCGACGTAGGAGGGGATTATGAGGAGACGTTTTTAGAGGGGTGGGAGAACTAGAAGTGGGTGAGAGGTGCGGTGGGGTTTGATCTTGCTGCTGGCGCTCGCGGATAATTCATTCCAGCCTTCTCTTTGCTTGATGGGATGGGTGGCTGTTCTTATGGGGGGGGGGGCGGTTGTAAAGCTAAATAGACAAGACAAAACAAACGTTGACACAAGACCAAACAAAGACAGTCGATACACTGTAAACTTACGATTAGAGTTCCCGAGAACCATACCTAGCTATGATAGATTACTTGACTTGTAACCCCTTCTTCTATTTGCTTCCCGACCTCCTGCTTCCGGTCTGTGGAACAGTTAAGATATTCGCAAACTCCTGTCATAGCTTGTAGTGGACTCGGAGGAATGGCAGGGAAGTTCGTTGTAAGAGAAACTGAGGCAAGGAAACAAGTTGCAGGCTTAGTTATTGTTTTTGATATCAATACCGAGGTCCCTGATATCTGCAGGGAAGGATGCTATGCATAATCCTCGTTCGAGCAGTTTATGCTGGGGAAGAACATGACTTGTCGATCGAATGCTTGTCGTTGGAGATCCTGTGTCACACGTAGATTGCAGGACAGCTGGAAAGCTGGACAGCTGGACAGCTTGATAGCTTGATGACGAGCCCTCCGTTCATTTTACGATAAACGATAATGACGTATATTCTATTTATTAATTGTTAAGTTATCCTTTGACAATCCCGATATATCTCAATATATGAATCCTTGGAGCAACGGTCAGCGGCTCCCACGGTTGTCTAGGCACTTGGGCACTTGGGCACTTGGGCACTTTGGCAACTTTTAAAGAAGCGCTAGCTACGGTAGCGGGGAACGACGTTGGCGTCAACACATTTCCCCTTCGAGGCATCTTGTCAATAGTACCAAATAGCTTGACCATTCCCATCACCGACACTTGCGCTCTCTTTACTCGCTCTCGACTATCTCTTCGGCTCCCGCTCCCGAACGCGCTGCTCTTCAAATTCAGCATCCGCGATCCTCCGACGCACGCCCTCACCTTTGACACAGCCACGCACAGCTCCGAGACGTTGGTGAACCGGAATAGCGGCCTCGAGGTTGGAACGGACCGGCACCGCACAAGGCTGTCTGTCTGTCTTCTGAGCAGGTCGCAGGATAACATAAACACTTCGTCGCCATCCCGAGGCCTTTCTGGACCCGGCTGTGAAGATGGGGTTCCTTGGTGTCTACAAAGCCGTATACGATTACGCCCCTCAAGGTGCTTCCGAGATTGCGATCGCCGAGGGAGATATACTTTATGTGCTGGAGAAGAGCGACGAGGACGACTGGTGGAAGGTGAAGAAGAAGGCGTCTGGGGAAGAGGATGAAGAACCCACGGGTCTTGTCCCGAATAACTACATCGAAGAGGTATGTGCCAGCTTGCCTGCAGTCCCACGCCTGCAGTCCCACGCTCTATGGGATGTTTTGTGGCCCCCTTAGAGATGATGGATTGGTTATACAAAGGGAGACGAGACGCTATGGTTTCGACAAGTCCATGGTAAGCTGGCGATTGCTGTTTGCTAACCATAGAACAGGCACATCCTACACACCATGCTCGTGCGCTTTACGATTACACTAGGCAAACGGATGAAGAGCTCTCTTTCACTGAGGAAGCTGTGCTTGAAGTCTTTGATACCTCTGACCCAGACTGGATCTTAGTCGGATTCCATGGCGAGTATGGCTTTGTGCCTGCTAACTATATTGATATTCAAGACAAGACAGCTCAGCCAGATCATTCGGAACCGCCCCCGCCTAGTCTATCTAGAAGGCCACCTACGGCTGTCGAAGAAGAGTACACGCCCGCTTCACCAGCTTCACCTGCCAGCCCGGTCAACAATCCGGCAGCAGCTCTAGCAGGTATTATCAACCAGCGCAAGAGTTCTGCGCCGGCAGCCCGGGCACACCCAGCACAGTATACCCCCGAAGATTCTGATGAGGATGAAGGACCCCCACCAGCAATGCCTACTCGCCCTATCTCAGTGGCAGTACATCCCGAGTCACATTACGCACGTTCAGCGTCTCCCGCATCTCCATCAGGGCCCCGGATGTCACCACCCTACAATCGAGCTAGTTTAAGCCGAAACATTGACGATGAGGTTGCTTCCCATTTGCAAGGAGGATTCCATATGTACAATATCAACGAAATGGTATCTGTAATGGGCAAGCGAAAGAAAATGCCAACAACTCTGGGTATCAACCTGGCCACTGGTGTTATTCTCATTGCCCCCGAAAAGGCCAGAGATGGCCCTCAAATGACATGGAGTGCTGATAAATTGGCGCATTACTCGATCGAAGGGAAGCACGTATTTCTGGAATTGGTCCGCCCGAGCAAAAGCGTAGATTTCCATGCTGGAGCCAAAGACACTGCTACTGAAATTGTGAGTGCTCTGGGGGAGCTGGCTGGAGCTGTTCGAGCAGAGGGGCTACGCGAGGTTATCATGGCTGGCACGGGCCAATCACAAAAGAAGGGGCAGATTCTCTATGATTTTATGGCCCAGGGAGACGACGAGGTCACGGTTGCTGTGGGCGACGAGATCTATATCGTTGATGACTCGAAAAGCGACGAATGGTGGCAAGTTAAACGGCTTCGAAACGGGAAAGAGGGCGTAGTACCAAGCTCATACGTTGAAGTTACGGGTATGGTATGTGCACCAACTTCGTCCGGTCTCAACGCTGGCAAGTCGGCCGTCGATCAAAACAGGCTCGACGAGGAACGAATGGCGAAGGAGTCTCTTAGAGCAGCTCGGAGGGAGGAAGAGCGAGGGTCAGAGGTAGGCCCTGGAACGCGTTTACCTGCCAGAGATTCCAGTTTATCGGCACGAGACAGTAGTAACCATGATGGGGAACAGAGCAGCAGGAACGAAAGCGGCCGAGACGGACGCTCGAAAACTTCGAAGTCAAGTAAGTAAATTTAAGTTATTGCCTCGTCAAATTCCTCGGGGTTGACTGAGGACATGATATTGCCGTCCTGCATTACAATCGGGCAGATTGTATATATTCTAACATCTACAGAACCTGACCCCGCGAAAGTACGAACCTGGACCGACAGATCGAAGTCGTTCAGCGTCGAGGCACAATTCTTGGCTCTGAAAGATGGCAAGATCAACCTTCACAAAATGAACGGGGTGAAAATTGCCGTGCCCGTGGTGAAGATGTCAGTTGAAGATCTAGAATATGTTGAGCGCGCTACAGGAATATCGCTTGACGAGGACAAACCTCTTTCGGATATCAAGAAACAGCGAGGGCGCACCCCCGAGAACGACAGTACCAGTGCTGGCGCAAGAATCGAGCCCAGGCCAACAAAGCCCGAGTATGACTGGTTTCAATTCTTCCTCTCTTGCGATGTTGCCGTTGGACTATGCGAACGATACGCCCAAGCATTCAACCGGGACTCGATGGATGAGAGTGTTCTACCTGACATCGATGCAACTGTCCTAAGAACATTAGGTATCCGGGAAGGAGACATCATCAAGATCATGAGATTCCTTGACAAGAAGTACAACCGTAGTGGAAAGAGAAACGTCAATTTGGGGGGCGATGAAGCTGGTGATGAATCATCCGTTGGATTATTCTCTGGACCTGGCGGCACTCTCAAGAATAACACCCGAAAAGGCCGTCCAGCGCCCGCTGTACAAACCAATGACATTGTGGATGCGGATGCATTCAAGCAAGGTTCGAATGAGAAGACTGTCCGTGATGGTGTAGCCACGCCACTTACTTCAATGCCAACTCCAGCGAAAAAGGATGAGGATAGACCAGGCTTTGAAGACGATGCGTGGTCGGTCAAGCCTTCCAAACAACAACCTCAGGCCACACAACCACCTCAAACTGCACCTGCACCGGCCCCAGCTACTCTGACAGGTTCCTTTGGGGATTTGTCTTTACTTTCGCAACCTCTTGAACCAACAAAAATCCAGCCAACGCCTCCGGTCGCTCAACCACCCCAACAGCCCCCCCAGCAACAGGCCCCCCCTCAGCCTCAAGGAGCTACGCCGTCGTTCTTCGCTGGAATTGGACAACAGCAAACTGGCCTGCCGCAACAGCAAACTGGTCTGCCGCAACAGCAGGCTACACAGTTCAGTAGCCCGCACTTGGTCAACCAGCTCAACATAGCCCGTCAAAGACCTGCGCCACCTGGGCAATTCCAGAGCCAGGGGTCGCTGATGTTGCCAGCTCCACCAAGTCGTCCGCTATCTGCCCCGCAAGCAAATCAACAAAGCGGTTTCTCCCTGCCACCTTTGCAAGCCCAAAACACTGGAATTCAGAATTCGTCTGGATTCCAGACCCAGATTGCTCCTCCTGGTCAAAGTCTGAATGACATGCGAATGCAACAGCAGCAATATGCCGGGTTCAACGGATCCCAGATGATAAACCAGCCTCAAAATTTCGGCCAAGTACCGCAAAATGGCTTTCAATACCCAGCACAAACTGGCATGCAACCTGGAATATCACAGCCGTTCATGAACAACGGAGGCGGACCTTTCGCTGATTCACGACCGCAGTCATTTGCTCCCCTTCAGCAACAACCAACCGGCTTCCAAAGCTCGTTCGGCCCTGCCCAGCAACGATACTCGCAGCCTGTTGGCGTGAACTCCTTCTTGCCTCCACCTTTACAACCTCAACAAACCGCTATGCCTCAACAACAGCAACAAAATGGCTTCAGTTCCTTCCCTCCCCCACCGATTCCTCCGGTTCCCCAGCAGAACACGGTGATGCCCTTGGTTCCTCAGAAGACTGGCCCGCCACCACCAGTTAGGTTTGGTGTTACGGGTGACACTAAGAAGCTCATGCCTCAGGCTACGGGCCGTAGAGCAAATCTGTCACAAGCAAGTAAGTCACACTGTAGGCTCCAGCTTGACCATCTACTGATTTCTCCACAGCTCCCCAAAACCCCTTTGGTTTCTAGGTCGGCAGCGTTGTACATTCACCAGGCTATCATTTTTCTCGTACTGTAGATTAAGCATGTATGCCATCGTATCAAGATGTTAATACCTTTTTCATTCTGGTTTCTTCCCTTTCCGTGACCTACAGCCCAAGTGATTAGCGACTGGGCCAATGGCAAATCTTATTGATGTATAATCTTTACGTGATGCACTCTTTTGGGGGATGTGCAGGTTATGTGGAACTTGTGTACCGGTTTTCCATTACGAGCGGTCCATCTCATTGGCGATGCAGAACTTCGCTCCTCCGCGGAGAGAGCAGGTCTTAGTGGTCGATTGAATTGAGTTTCGCACGTACTACGGGCTATACCTAGCGTGGTGACTATGATATCGATGTCTTTGCCAGGGCAGGAACAAGGAGCAAGTCGCTCTCGGTCCATCAGCCTCAAATGTGGTTAGCTTCAGGAAAGCAGGCCGAGTTGAAGGCTTGTTATAGAAGCCTGTGCCTCCTCAGCTTCTGCGGACTGTCCTCGCCAAGCGGTGCAGCTCATGCTATTGAAAAGGTATCCAGATGTTTCTTTGCATATTCATGTTGTGCCGGCTTCGGGGCCGTACATGTAAAGGTACCGAATGCCCCCTCTGTGATCAATCATCCATGAACCAACGATCAAAATCAACAAGTGGCTCGTCTGGCAACCCTCGCCCCGGAATGACCGCCCCGGTCTTTATGGGCTATCGGCAGCCTTCGGCAAGTGAGCGTCATGGAATCGGAATCACTGTTTGTGACGGTGCATGCGAGGACCGCTAGGTCTAGATCTAGATCGATAATAGCATCCCACATGGGAAATTCTGTTTCTCAAATGCATGCATCCGTCACTTGCCGGGCCTCGTCTAACTCGCGCGCACTACCCGAAACGGCCATCGAGACTACAAGTCCAAACAGATGCTCGTTACAGCCACAGCCACAGCTACAGCAACAGCAGCAACAGCAACAGCAGCAGCAGCAGCAGCAATAAAAATAGCAACAGCAATAGCAATAGCAAGCAGCACGGACTTGGTCAAAGTGCTTCTCACCAGGAGGAATCAGCCTCAAGAAATCGCCACCTGTGCTCGGGGCTATTATTGATGGTACAATACCACCGGCACTGGGGGTCGCACCGGCTGTGGGCTTCTATGGGAAACAACGAGTCAATGTTCGGTTGAAACCTTTGTGAATCTTGTTTCTCTACTCCGTCTCAGGTTCTTCAAGCGACTATTACCGACGCACGGAGTGTTAAGTGAACCCTCACGTTGATCGCGAGCTTCCATATGTTGGCGCCAGGAAGCAGGAGTGGAGTCCTGGCCTGCTACAACGCGAGCACCAACTGCCTCCAAGTTACAAACTCCTATCTCCGTGTAAAACCCGTGTTTGCTTGCTTGCTTGCTTTGCTTGCTGACTACTTACACATGGCGGCTATTCGTAACTTGGACGGGCGGGTCTCCGGACGCATCGACAGCAGGGAGCATTGACCGTCGCTTGACCATCCAGAAACCGGAAGATGTGCAAGATCGCAACGCAAGGAATTTGGAACGTCTGGTCTGATGCTGAGCTGAATCAGCTGACCGTCACTTCCAAGCACTATAAGGGCACTCCTCACAACCTCTCCTTTAGCCTCACATCACATTCACAGCAATCTTCTCCTTTCTTCCATTCTTACCATCCTTCTCCATCCCATCATTTCATTGACAGGCTTGACGTCTCGATTGAAAATTTCCTCCATTACATTTACTCTTAATTCTTCAAGCCTTTCTTAATAACCCCCCCGACCCCCTACACCCCTCAAAATGCGTGGAGCAACCTTCTTTTCCTATGCGCTGGTCGCACTCACCGTTGGAGTTACCGCCACTCCCGCTGATGTTGATGAGAAGAGAGAAGCCTTCGACATTCCCGGTCTTGCCCTCGCTGCTAAGATCGGCACCGTGAATGACGGAAAGATGTTCGAGGCCCGTGACGGGTGAGGCACCCTTTCCAGCCGGCGAGGTTCACGGCCCAGATATACTAACGGATCGATGTACAGTGCCGCCACAGACCCTATTTTGGCCCTTCCTGCGTATGTCCACCTTAAGTTTCTTTGACAAGATCATAAAGAGAGACTGACCAGACTATACAGTCCCACCCCAGGAGTTCCCCAGGTCCTTTTCACACGCTACGCAACAGCGAGCAAGATCTCAAAGGACCGCTAGTTCGAGGACGTATATGAAAAGGTGTGACAGCCTGCTTTGTTACCTGCAGCATAAAAGGTGTCCTTAGCACTGAAAACTGACTTTCGAATTGAAAAATACAAGATGAACGGAAGCTACAGAGCCTTCGACGAGTACCTCGCTATCGTGGAGCATCCAAGAGATCTGAGGCTCGTGCCGCGTAAGTCAATATCCCAAATTCACTCATTACCAGTCACTAATAAATTCACAGAGCCGCCTCTAACAAGGCTGTAAGTGCTCCCTATTCACGCTCGCGAATCTCTAAGCGAGTCAATACTGACACCAAGTAGTAGGGGAACTAATCCTTACGAGTCCTAAGCTTTGATTTGAGCGCACAGAATGTGCCAGCAAAAAGATCCAGCATTTCACCTCAGGGTTTGAATGCTCGGTTTCGACAATTGAGCTCGAGCGTTGAAATTCAGTCACTTTCATTTTCTGTATTACAGTCATCATGCGTAGGCCAGCAGAGCTAGTCTTTTCTTTAATAAAATCACTCCGCCAAATACAACTTTCTTCTGTCCAATATCAGTGACTATTGCACATTTTTTTCCGCTCGCGCATCATTTATATTTCGCACTCGTGAATCTTCAGTTGTAGCATATCATCCCTCGATAGTCATCACACCGCGACAGCTCACTAAGTTTTTCTTCCATCGGCAAGTACCTACACAACAGTCCATTGCACCATTTCATTTTCCAGCCCCCTCCCTTTTTCTTTTCAAACCGACCCCCAACATTCAAAAGCAGACGCCCCTAATCCAAGCCTAGAAGAAACTAGAATCCCAACTCCCCCGCCACCCTCCCTCGGTCAAGCGTTCAAACAATACTCGCACCAAAGACAAAGACGACTCGACTAGGTACTTCTCAGGCCCCAGCCTGACACACGGGCCCCGTCCCAATCGCCTGCCTCCCGGCACTCAACCAGATCTTATACACCACTGCCCCTCCCTCTCTCCCTCCCCCCCCCCCTCCTCCAACGACGCCGTCTAGCACGTCTCGCACAAGCAGCTCCTTCCCAGCCCAACCCGGCAGGTAGCCCAAAGCCTGATTCACCACGACCAGCGCCGCCAGCGCCCCGAGCTCAAAGCCGTCCCGTCTCCAGACGCCGCCGGCGCCGGCGCCCGCCCGGAGAATCGTGGCCGCGGTGGTGGTGCTGGTCCTGCGAAGGGCAGAGGCGCCGCGCGAGTACAGCGGCTGCGTGAGGACGGCGGTGCAGGCGCCGAGGGCCTGTCGCAGGGGACGGCGCGGCGGCGGCGGTGCTTGCTCTGCGGCGGCGGCGGCGGCGAAGGGATCGGGGCCGAGGTTTGGGGCGTAGAGCGCGGCTTGCTCGAGGTAGTAGGCTGTGGGCTGCTCCGGCTGCTGCTGCTGCTGCTGCTCTCTGGTGCGCTGGTGGGTGCTGGTGTGGAGCGGGGGTGGAGGCCGGGGCGGGTGGTGCGTGTGGAAGCTGGAGAAGGCGTGGAAGGGCTGGGTGGGCGCGATGCCGTTCTCCCAGTTCATGGCTTGACTTTTTGGGGGTTTTGAACTGGATTTGGACTTTGGGATCTTGCGGCTTTTGCGGGTGGAGGCGGGGGGGCTTTTACCCTTTCGGTCTTTTGGAGGAGATGGGTTTTCGCGGAGGGAGGGAGGGAGGGAGGGAGGGAGGGGAGAGGCGGCGAATCGAAGGAAGGGGTGGGTGAGTAAGTAAGTAAGTGAGTGAGGCTTTCGCGGGATAAGGAAACGGACGGAGGAGATGGAAATGATAGAGACGCCAATAATCGTGGCCCAGAAGGAGAGGAGGAGCGAGAGGAGGAAAAGGAGCAAGAGGATTGTTATTGATGCCCATGAGGTTTGAGATGGAGGGTCACTCAGTCAGTCAGTCAGGTCGGTAAGGTCCCTTGTTGAAATCTGAAACGGCGAATCTTTTTTTTTCTTCTTCTTTTTTTTGACTCAGGTGATCCATGGATATAGCATCGAGAGGAAATGCGCAACATGTAATGTATATATGTTATGTATATATATGATGTTTCGGACGGCGAATCCCTTTCCCTTCCTTTTTTGGTAACCCTGACATTCTATCTCAGCAGTGCCAAGCTGAATGTCAATAAGAGACGGCTAAGATAGGCGAGCAGAGCTCGGCCTAGTAAAACTCCGCTATACGAAGGAGAAAGGAAAAGAAAAGAAAAGAAACACTGCGAAAGCAATCGAGCATCAAGGATTCAATCTCTAACTGATGGATCAGATAATCGCAGAAGAAGAATAAGAAGGATGGAATACTGGTCTCGGTATTAACATTCCCGCAGCTTCCACGCTGGTTCAGATCAAGTGTGTGTGTGTGTGTGTGTGTGTTTGTTTGTTACAAGTCTTGATCGATGAAAGCTTGTTTGTCTGTCCATTGTGTTTGCTCTGCTCGGTTAGTTAGAAAGGGGATGCCTAAATAGGCAGTAGTAAGTAAGTAGTCCATGTGATGCTGAAACCAGCAGGGTTCGTCTTGGGAAAGTGAGTCATCCGATAATCCGAATGCCTTTATACGATTATACAACAAGGAATGATGCAAAAAACATGCAGAAAAAATGATAAGAATAAGCGGCCGTGCCAGAAATGATGAAGTGGAACCTGTGAGACTAGGAAACTAAAGCGATTCCCTATCACAAGAGAAAGATCGGTATCCTAAGCGTTTGAGCCGGCGAATGCCAGATAACTGGCAACTAGCTTGCACAACGTATTTCAACGTGAGCATACTCGCTCTCTACTAAGACGCCACCAAGGTGGACCACAGCGACGAGGCCGCACGCAGACCCACCGGGACCCTTGTTCGTAGTCAAAGATCTATCCAGGCGAAGAGAATGGGGAATAGGAAGGGGCAGACATCCTCGATGTGTGCGTCAGAACAGGGTTGAGGAAGCTCTATTATCTGGCTCGGTGGAAAGGGCTGGTCGTCGGATCACGACAGCTGGGCCGAAGCCAGCGACTTGACACCGAACCAACCGCGCAAGAAGCAGTTGCGGCATTCCATATCAAAACCCCGTTTTTGAACCGGGAGCACCAGCATAGAACGAAGGAGTCATGTTTGTGAAAGGGCAAAATTCATGGATAGGAGAGAAACCGAAGTGTAAACCATATTTATAAGAAGACAAAAGATCCATGGGTATGAGGAAAACAGAGATGCAATTCATAGAATGCCTCGTATCCAGGTCGGAAACAGAGAAGTACGGAAATGCGCATAGGGAGAACGCGATAGTATACCTTTTATCAAGGACTTGAAATTACCGCTGGTACGTGAAGAAAAATTGTCGGCGGGGACTTTGGTGGAATTTTGTATACAAAAAACTATACCGCTGAGCCTACTTCCATGGCAGATCGTACCAGGCTGGCCATACGTAGCTGGGGCCGCGGACGTCAACCAACGACCAGAACCACGAGACGAAAAGAGTCAAGCAAATTTCCCAAGATCATCCAGCACATACAGATGACAAAGATTCACGCAAATAATAGCAAGGTATCGGGTGGCAAAAAGCTGATTGCGTTATACATACTCGCCTCTCATCTAAAAGCGAGGCTGAGGGAATCAATACACAGAGAAACGCTCTAAAGCGCGAGAACCGCTCAAATACCAAGAGAGAATTCAACGCCCACGTCAATTTCACGAGCTGCGTATAATTAGCCGCTATCCAATGGAAGGGTGTGAAAGTAATTACCCATCTTCACAACCTTCGAGAACTGCACAGATTTCTCTGCTGCGGTTTGTAGATCGTCAATAGAGAAGATCTTGAGACCAGCATCGCTGATCAACTTGTGTGCAGCCTCCATGTTGGTTCCTTGCAGTCTGGCGATGATGGGGATACTAAGGTTCATGCTTTCGACAACACTAATCAGACCCTGAGCAATGGCATCACATCTCACAATACCCCCGAAAATGTTGACGAAGATAGCGGTGACCTTGGGATCGCTGGTGATGAGGGTGAAAGCCTCCCGGATGGCTTGAGGAGTAGCTCCACCACCAACATCTAGGAAGTTGGCAGGCTCGCCCCCGTTCAGCTTGATGATGTCCATGGTGGCCATCGCAAGACCGGCACCGTTGACTAAGCATCCAATATCACCCCCAAGCTTGATAAAGTTCAATCCGCTCTCAGCTGCCTTGACCTCATCGGCATCCTCTTGGGCGGTGTCGCGCCACGAGAAGACCTCCTTTTGGCGGAAGTCAGCGTTGTCATCAAAACCAAGCTTGGCATCCATGGCAAGAACCTGATGGTCGGAGGTCTCAGAGAGAGGATTGATCTCGATCTGGGTCGCATCTTTCTCCATGAAGACCTTGTACAGCTTCTGGATGGTATCCTTGGCGTCCTCGATGCATTGCTCGCTGAAACCGAGATCAGTAGCGATCTTTCGTGCCATCTCATCGGTGACGCCCTTGTGGATGTCCACATGTGTAGTAGTGATAGCCTCGGGTGTCTCCTTTGCAACGTTCTCGATATCCATGCCTCCTTGCGATGAAGACACGATAACTGGTCCCTGAGAAGCACGATCCATCAAAATCGCCAGATAGAACTCTCGGCGGGCGAATTTACGCTCGCAGATGTAGACGGAGCTGCAGATACGTCCCTGGGCTCCAGTTTGCTTGGTTACAAGCTTGTGGCCGATCATCTGTTCTGCGAACATCTTGGCCTCTGTTGGAGAGTAGATAACGCGAACACCTCCCTTTAAGCCATTGTCGAATGTGCCCTTTCCTCGTCCTCCGGCAAGAACCTGTGCCTTGATAACCATATCATCGCCGCCAATCTTCTTCGCAATGGCCTCGGCTTCGGCAGCAGTTTTCGCAACTGAACCTTGGGGAACACCAATGCCGTACTGTCCCGAATGAGCTTTTTGCCTTCCTGACCCATGTAGATCCGCGTACCTGTCTCAAGAGATCTGCAGAGAGATACTCATGTATACTCAAAGCTCTCTTCTGTTGCGCAACACCAGCTAATCGTGACGGGGAGTAGGTCTTGGGGGAAGTTGTTAGTATTTTTGACAGCCAGAAAGGGGCCGGGCATTCTTACCTTGGTGGACTTCAAAGCCGCAAAGGGCCGGCTACGTGCGAGCTTGAACATGGTGACGGGAGTGTAGATACACAATGCCGTCAATTGCAAATGGAAAAAAGAAGTTTAGTGGTCGCGAGCTTTAGAATCCTTTTCGGATTGGGACGGAACGGATGCGAGAGCTTTCGGGACTACGGCGGCCGACAAACCCCCCGTGAACTCTGCTTGTTTTACTACTCGCGGATTCTCGAAATAGCCCCGACAAGACCTCATCCTTCATCCACCACTCAAACTCCAGCAACAACGCACCGCGATACAATTACTGGCAAACATTGAGCCATGGCACCCGAGGAATCCCTCGCATCCGCGAACGCGAAAGCGACCAAGATAGACACCAATGTCGTTTTGAATCGTCTTGCGATTGCCATGGCCAAGCGCGAGGCTTTGATCAGCTCCTGGGAAAACTCGTCCTCCCGAAAGCCACCAAAGACGCAGGAAGAGCTTGACGCCGAAGACGCTCTCATTTTTCGACAGCAGCCCCCTCGCCTAGGCGTAGGGGCTCCGCTTCCCGCCGAATACCTGGTCGGCGAAGCCGAACGGAGCAATAAATCACTCCGCGCAAGGTTCTTCCCCAGCAAGGGCTTGAAAGCCAGCAAGGCGCGCGATGCCGAAGAGAAAGCTGCGAGTGCAAAGCGGGCGCAAATGGAGGAGAGTAGCGACGAGGAGGGGGGCAGGTCAAGCTTGGGAAGGGCGAAGAAATTGAATAGCCACCGGAATGTAAACCCGGTCAAGCAAACTAAGAAGCGTCTATCTGATTCTGATGCCGATGATGAGGGGGTATCTCATTCAGGAAAGGCAAAGAAGCAGCGAACAGATACCAGTTTTGAATATCCTGCGAAGCAAGTCGTCGGAGAGGATGAAATGCCAAAGAAGAGGCCAAAAAGCAGTGGCCCTTCGAACAGGGTCGAGGAACCGAAGCGAAGAGTTGTTACAGATGCGGCGGAAAAGGTAGCTTCTGCCGATGCTCCAGCAAGCAACCAGTTGACTGCGAAGGAGAGGAAGAAGTTGAAGAAGACGCAGAATGATGTCCATCCGGTGGAATCCAAGCACCAGATTTCTACAAAGTCGGACACGGCATCCTCTAAGGCCATTAAGGAAAAAATCCAGATGAGTGGGAAGGAGCTGGAGAAGTTGGAGAAGAGGGAGAGGAAGAAGCTGAAGAAACTGGAAAAATTGAAGGCACAGCGGGCAGCGAAGGGCGATTGAGAGAAGATATGATACCCAATATTACCGTTGGCAGGCCAGTCACGTCTTGTAGTCTGGTGCCGATTGATTACTCGCATTAGAGTCAAACCACAATGTACCTTCGCGACATAGAATATGAGTAACCTCTGTCGGATATGTCACCGAACACTTCCAGTCTGCGAGATGTACCGCTTGCTTGCTTCGCAAGTGGTAATGGAGGTTTACATGTCCCTAGGTACTTGAGCGACTGGCAAACCTTCCCAGCCTACATCGTACCTCAGGCTCGTAAAAATCATCTGAAGTTTCCCTTATCAACACCAAGTATTGTCCCTTCACACAGCTTCTTGTCATACATTACATCTTCAAGCTCTCAAATTATCATAAGCAGTATTCGAGGCCTGTGAGGCTCAAGATCCAACAGCTGTAGCACAAGCCTCGGCACCAAAAGTAAGCTCTACAACCCGAATTCAGGCTTACCTTGATGTCTTCGCCACCTTTGATATCCGTCGAGATTCCTATCTCCTCCCACCTCGAGGCCTGATTTAATGAAGGTTCTCGTACTAAGCGCTGAAGGTACGCCTTGTGAGCTTGGACTCCTTCCGTAAACAGGTATGCCTTCGCCTACTGTGTTTTAAAATACATGTCGCTTTTCACGTTGGGTATATTAGACAGAGCTTTCTCAATACATTGACGACTTCGAACTCTTCCTTCTTCAGGATTGGCCTGGTCAACCACCCATATGCAAACTCGAGATCTGCGAGGGCTTCAACGGCATTTCAATATTCCTAGCATGGGAAGCTACTTGAGATACTTAGTATTTTACGGCAAACAAGATTGAGGCATGCGGTGGGTAGCGCCCAAAGATACCTGGCATGGTATTTTTAAGATGCTGTAATACCCCTGTACTTCTGAAATCCGAGAAAGAATCGTAGCCGGAGAAAACTCATAATGCCCAACCAATACCAAGACAGGAAGAGCATGAGTTTCGCTACTTGTCTCAGACCAGGGCTGATGTATCTACTACCTACACACAAGCCGGCTGTACCAAAAGATTCCCTGCAGAGTCATCAGTAAAAATCAATCCAGCGCCCTTCAAAAAAGACTACTCACCACCTTCTGGATAGATAACCTGGCCATTCAAAAAGCCGCCTCCAGGCCCCGCGAGCAACAGCACACAGGCCCCCATATCTTGCTCCCTCCCATACCGTCCGCTGGGGTTACTCGCCTTGCTCTTCAGCTCGCTCTTCTGCCTCTCATCACTCCCGCCCACCGTCATCTCTGACGGAAACAGACCAGGCGCTATGCTGTTTACCCTGACGTGGGTTTCGGCAAATGTGGTGGCCATCATACGGGTGAGGTGCAGGAAGGCGGCTTTGGAAGAGGCATAGGCGAATTGGCCTGCGCTGCTGCCTTTCATGACGCCCGAGATGGAAGTTATGTTTATGATGCTCGGGGAGGAGCCGGGGGTGCTGGCGAGGGATTTGGCGAGCTGGAGGGCGGGTAGGAGTTAGTAGTTGCGTGTGTGAGAAGACTTACAACACGGGCTCCTGGTGATATTGGGATAACTTGAAGTGGGTAGTATTGGGCGTCCACGTTACTTACCAAGGGAAGGAAAGCGGCAGAGACGAAGAACTGCGAAGTGACGTTCGTGGAGAATGTTTCGGCCCAGGCTTGAGGGTCAGACTTCATGAGGTGCTCGGAGATGGATTGGGCAGACTGTTGGAGTTAGCTATGCTTGGTTCCTCGGCATGGCTACGAGCTGGTAGGGTTGACGTGTACCTTGAAGTCGGGCTTGCTATTCGAGTACTTGGTATTGTCATCTCTGGCAATACCGGCATTGTTGACTAGGAGATGAATGCCATTTGGCTCTTGGGACTCAATCTCCTTGACGAGTCTTGCAACTTCGTCTTTCTTGGAGACGTCGCCAGGCAAACTAAACACTTTGTCAATATTCTCGCTTGAAGACCACAGTATCAGAACTCACGCGATGATCTTCCCAGGCCCGGTGTTATACTCCTTGACTACAGTCTCCAAGGCCTCCTTGCGTCGACCTGTAATATAGACCTTGGCTCCATTGGCAGCTAAAGTCTCTGTAATCATGAGGCCAATTCCGGATCCGCCTCCAGTGATAAGAGCTGAGAAGTTGGAAACATCGAATAGATGGCTGCTTTTCAGTTGATCGTTGCTTGCACTTGTTGCCATCGTTCTGGTTATGGGGAGGAGACTTGAGCCAAGAAAATTTCTGTAAAACGGATGATGGGACCTGGAAAGATACTTAAGCATGATAGAATGAGTTATTCAGAAGGTTGCATACTATGAAGCTCAAATACCTAGGTACAAAGAAAGGCCCGCCTAGTCGTGACGTTGTTTACTAAATGACGTACTACGTACTCCGTAAAAATATGGAAGAGCTATTTGAATAGTTGCGGCAAAGAGGGCCTCGGGGATTCGGAGGCAAATAAATTCGTTATATGTCATTCGCATTTCAAGACATATATGATAACATTCTTGAGGATGCACTTGCCCAGCAGCAATTGGGAATCCAACAAGCATAAGCAATGGAATGATTGATGTTTGCTTGAAGGCCTACATCAAGGATTCGGGTCCTTAGCATCTTCAGCAATACCCCCACCTCAGACCAAGCACCCAAGCCCAGGCTCAGTACCCTACGACCATGCCAGAACAACAGGATACGAAGCACCCAGGCTTAGCAAAAGCTCTTCAGGAGACATTAAGAGGACTCGTCGACAATCCATATCCCCACGTCCGCAACCCGGAAAGCTGTAAAAAGCGCGCTTCTGTCGCCCTTATCCTACGCGTTCGACCGAGATACGAGCACTGGCCAGAGTCCAATCCCCCACAGGCTGAAGAACACGTCAATTCTTCTGCAGCAGAGTCTCTGGATCGATTCTTCGCGCAGGACTGGGTCCAACACGGCGATCCTGAAGCCGTGTTTATAAAGCGGGCAGCGAGAGTTGGGGACAGGTGGAAAGGTCATGTAGCTCTGCCAGGAGGAAAGAGAGACCCAGAAGATGAAGATGATAGAGCTGTGGCAATCCGGGAGACTGTGGAAGAGATAGGTTTCGACCTCAAATCTCCGCATGCTCTATTTGTAGGCAATCTTCCGGAGAGGGTTGTCAGCACGTCTTGGGGGAAGGTTCCGTATGCAAGATCTACCTCCTACGAAGTGCTTCTGCTAATAATGTGCACAGGATCATGGTCCTCTGCCCGTTTGTCTTCCTTTGGACTAAGCCAGATCTTCCCCCTTTCAAGCTGCAACCGACTGAAGTAGCATCAACACATTGGGTGCCTCTCAGGATTCTGTTATCGCCCTCCTCTCGCACATACGAATACGTAGATGTATCGGATAGATTCGCACGAAGAGGAGGAGCCATGATAAAAGCCCTCATCAGATCAGTACTCGGAAAGATGCGATTCTCTGCAATCCGACTGGTTCCCTCCGAGTCCCTGTACTGCAGTTCGATCGCCGAATTCTTCTCCACAGATTCAGAGACACAACCAGCTTCGACTCCATTAAGCGTTATGATCTATAAGTCGTATCTTGGAGATCACGCAGGATCAGCAGAAAAGACGCGGCCGTTACTGCTATGGGGTTTGACACTTGGGATGTTGGCTGATTTTCTGGATCAAATGCCCCCTCATAACGCCATCAAACTGTGGTCATATCCAACTTTCACTTCCCTAGATGTTCGATGGATAATCAATCTCCTTACTGGGCCTCTGAAGCGGAAAAACCGTTTATCTTTGCAAAATGGTGGACTTGGGAATCTGACGGCTATAGATAACGAGACAGAGGCTGTTACTTCGGGAGACGATCTGTGGTCTACTGGTGGACCGAGAAATAGCATGAGCTCCAATCATAAAGGAATCAATAAGACCAGAGAGTATGCAGTAGGAATAATGTTGGATGGATATTACGACATGGTTCGAAGAGGTGGTAAGTGGATTTTCCCTTGGCTTTGAACGAGAGCCGCTTCCATATAAATTAACTGCTTGCAAGTTTCCAAGACTTCGGTCAAGCAAATGCATACTAACTGACCACTCAGTCTGGATCGCTGCTAGCTTAAGACTCGTTGCTACTGTCTTTTTAACGGTACAACTTGTAAGACGATACAAGCTACGAAAGTAGTTGTTATTATTATTATTATATTTATTGACGTCGGGCGGGTTAGCAAGCGAAGCCTGCCGCCTTGAGACTATCGTTTCTTTTATTATATATATCTGATCATAGCAAAAGGAAACTCAATATCTCTTAGAATACCAGGCAGAGGACCAAGTTCTTTGTAATGTCACCAACGGGCTAATTACTAATTTGTGTATTATTGAAATTGGATTCTTATAAAATTAATAATCAGCCCGTTAGTAATATTACATCGAACTTGATCCTTTGCTAAGTATTAAACTTATTAAATAAATCGTAAAATAAAACTAAATATATATAAAAGTATTATTATATTAAAAACTATCGAATTTATAATTTATTATAAAAGGGATTTGTTGTTATTGTTTCTGTATTTATTAACGTCGGGCGGGTATCTAAAACGCAATGCTTAGACCTTAAGGACTTTTTATAAAGTACGGCGACGTGCTAAGTAAAGGAATTATATATAAAGTACCAGGGCAAAGGACCAAGTTCTTTGTAATGTCACCAACGGGCTAATTACTCGATTATAAAAATCTTTATATATTTAAGTAAATTATAAAAGAAATAACAATGAAAATTAAATAAATATAAAGGTAATAACGTAAGAAATAATTTATTTAATAATTTATTATAAAAAAAACCTTTTCAAAACCTCTTTTTTA